TATCCGTTAAAAAAAAAAAAAAAAAAAGGTAGTTAACATCAGTAAGGACGATACGGGGCAGGGAACTGCCATTTCTGTTATACTCCTTTCACTTCTTCCATTGTTCAAATTAAAGATTAATTTGAAAAAGAGTCTACTTTTTAATAAAGATAATACAAATAGTAATGTGGACTAACAGATCTTACCTATAACTTATTTTAACACATAATCCCTCATATCAATTTATTTTTTTGTTATTTTCTTATTTCTGATGAGAGTAAAATCATAGATAAACATCAGTTAATCTTAGATTTCAATTAATGAAGTACCAGTTAACCGAATTTGTTCTACACTAGAATTTTGGAATCGAGTCATTCCATTCATTAATGTAGTCTTATGCCTGCATTATTGGCAGGATGATTTGGGTGCTAAGTGTACAGTGAATATCAACCCTTAGACTGTATCGAACAACAGGTAATCTCTATAAACAGCAAGGGAAAATACTTTCATTAAATGTTCCCTATTTCACATAAATAGGAGGCAGTGCAAAGGTAGTGCAATTCCTTAGACAATAGAATTCTATAAATCAATAAGCAATAAAAGTCATATTTACAAGGAATATTCAAGAACCTAAGAATCTGCACATCATAAAATGGTATGTTTCTTAAAAAGCTGGTTATAAAACAGACTATTATGTAAAACACACTTTCTTGAAAAGAGTCTAAAAAAAGCTCTGCCAAGTATAAACTCGTTGGGATGGTGGGTGATTTTTATTTTCTTTTTTCTAAATTTGCCTACAATGAACATGTATTACTTTCAGGGAAAAAAAAAATGCTAAAGAAACCAAATCATCAATGTGAAGGACCAATCTGAGAAAGTCTCAATACAAAGAAGTGGTAGAGATATGAAAACCGTGAGAAGATGGAAGACAGGGAAATAAAATATATAAAAAGAAAAGAGTTTCAAAAAAAAAAAAACTTAGATAAATGGATCAAAAACAACAGTCAGACACAGAATAAAATATTCTTGAGCTAAAAAAAAAATATTCTTGAGCTAAAAAAAAACTTGAGCTAAAAAAAAAAATATTCGTGAGCTAAAAAAAAAGATATTCTTGAGCTGGAAAAAAAAAAGCCAAGTCTGAGATTGAAAGGTGTTACTATGTTCTAGGTACAAAATTAATGAAAACTAGATAAACCTGGCCATAGGCTGGGGGCTCCTGAATTTTAAGGAAAAAGAGAAAATCCTACTAGCATTTAGGGAGGGAAAACACATTACTTATAAGGAAACAAAAAATCAGAATAGCCTCAGACCTCTTTATGACCCTAAATACTAAGCAAGGATCAGTGGAGCAGTATTTTGAGAGAGAAGTTTAAATTAAAAACTCATAAATAGGGAAACTGTTGTATAAATGGACTAGTGAACTAATCTGACATAGAGAATTATATATGAATAACTACAAAATTAATGCAAAACGAAAAATTCATTTGAAAAGATACATGGTTAAAGAAAAAGAAAAAAATAACATGAAGGTATGTATTTAATTAAAAAGAAAGTTGGCAGGAGAAAAGGGAAAAGACAAATGAACATTAAATTCATAAGTTACTACTCTGTTCTAGACTTTCATAAGAGATACAGTTTTAAATATACATTTTAGGTGTGTTTCTCAAAAAATTTTGAGCGTGTAATACTTTGCTGGAAAAAAAAAATCATCATCCCAACAAAAACCTCAGCCACAAGTGTGCCTGTAACTATGACACTGACATCAGAACATTCCGTGGCCATAAACTTTTTTTTTTTTGTCCTTTTTGAGACCGGCCGCACCGCGCTCAGCCAGTGAGCGCACCAGTCATCCCTATATAGGATCCGAACCCGTGGCGGGAGCACTGCTGAGCTCCCAGCGCCGCACTCTTCCGAGTGCACCACAGGCTCAGCCCCGTGGCCATAAACTTTAATAAGCCTATTATTAACAATCTATGTATTAAAATAAGCGTATTAAAGTGACTGACAAGAAAGATTACACAAGGTCACATTTTATCACATAGAGAACATACATACCTGCACACTGGCTGTTACCACTGAAGACCCTGAGGCAGAGGATGGTCTATGTGGAGTAGACAACGGTTTAGTAGCACCCTGTGTTCCACTTCCTGTTCCCCCAGATAGACTAGTCCTATTAGCTCCGCTTGAGTTAAGGTTGCTACCTCTGCTGGCAGGTACATTCATTGCAATTCCACTCAAGCTATTCTTCCCAACAGTTCCAGTGGATGATGAGTTTGTTAGCTTTGAAGGGGCCTGAAGAGTTTTTGTAGATGGAAGGCCTGAAGTGCGATTAGAGGGCAATAAATTCAAGGTGGGAGACTGTCTGCTGATGTTTATTCCACTGGGCTGTTTATGGACTGGGTTGTTACTGCTAGAGTGGCTACTCTGGGCTACTAGTGCATTTGGACTGGAAGAACTTGGGGATACAGTTGGCTTGGGAGTTGGGTTGGATTTAGAAATAAGTTTAGTTGATACTGAAGGCTTGGCTGAGAGAGAGGGCTTGGGCGAGGCAGAAGGCTTAGGTGAGGGCAATGGTTTAGGAGATGTGGCAGGTTTGGGAGATGCGGCAAGTTTTGGGGATGCTGCCATTGAGAAGGGAGATTTAAAACCCTGCGTGGAGATTTGTGACACCATAGCCTTGGCTAAATAGTTACTGGAGGTAGTGGTGCTAGGTGCTGTCCTAGAAACCAGGGGGTGGGACCCTTGAGAACCATTTCCAGGTGAGGGTGTAGATAAGGGAAGGCGGTACATCAGTGGCTTATCTGAACTCTTAATAAGTGGGGACGAACAGGAAAGTTGGGGATTATTACTTAATTTCACCACTGGGTTGGTCTGTGATTTACTAATGGTTGCTTGTAATGGAGACACATAGTTCTGCTGGACAGCCGAATGCTGGTGCACCTTTGTTACTTGTGTTAATGAAGAAGCATCTTGAGCCTCTGATGTTCCTAGAGCATGAGAGGAGGCAGCAACTTGGGCTTGGGAAGAAGAGGAGATGTGAGTCTGTGAAGAGGAAGAAGCATGGATCTGGCTTGACCTCTGTAATCCTTGTTGAAGTAGCCTGGCTGGCAAGGGTTCTAAGGAAACTTTAGGGTTCTGGATTGAAGAACCAGCAATAAGGCCTGAAGAGATGCCAGTATGAGCTAAATCCTGGGGTTTCTTTGGTACTGGCCCTGTGTGACCAGCAATAAGACTTGATGAATGTGCAGTCTGAGTAGAATCTAGTTTTTTGGGAGTAGCCAGTGGCAGCTTACTCATGATACTTGCCAATTTTTCTTCTCTCAGTCCTGGACGAGGTTTTGTAGATGGCATGCTTATCCTTGAGCCAACTGGAGGGCCCTTGTTCCCATTGTTGATAATAGCTAAAGCTTCAGAAACAAGATCAAGTGAAGGCGAATGGAAAGAAAGATCTTCATCTAGTGAGTCATCAAGGCAGATGGTTTCTTGGGCTGGCGTAGAGCTGGAGCTGGCTGAAGCAACAGCAGATATGCTAGAGCTTGCTGAAGGACCACCAGCTGAAGCTACCAGGGATGCAGGAGTTTTCTGATCCTTTTTCGGACTACACTCCTAGCATAAGCAGCATTACATTGAAAAAAATAAAAATGATTAATAAATTACAAAGTTAATTTTTAAAGGACAAAGAAATTCTCATGATGATTAAAATTGCTTTTCTACTGGAAATCTTTAGAGACTGTCAAAAACAAAATTTTTAAGAGGATAGATTCCTGGCTGAGCTGTCCTTATAAGACAAAGTATCTGATATACCACACATAACTGCCATACCTGAGTAAGCCACTCTAAGATGAGGGCTTAAAACTAAGCCAAAGGAACATGCGTTCATATAATAGTTACATTACTGGTGAACCCCCTCCCCCTGCTACCTGCATCAGATCTTCGGCTCCTATTCCAAATCCATCTGCTCAGAGACTATTCCTCTTTATTTCTGCCTTGCACTCAGGAGAAATTGTGCCTTTATATTAAGTCTCACAAAGATGCAGACCCTCACATTCTGCTTCCTTTTATTTCTGCCTCTTTGTATGCCCTGTCCTGCAGCTACTGCTGCCGGTACACAGAGAAACTGGTACATCAAACTGGCAGATGATTCTATCCAAGCATACTTAAATTGTTTTTATTCATTATAGTAGAAGTCACTTGTAATTTATTCAACAAATATTTACTAAATGTCCACTATGACCTCTATGCTAAGGAAACAAGGGTATTAGGAATCAAAACTCTGAATACCTAAGAGAATATTGTCTGTTTTCTCAAAAAGAAAAAAATCAATTTCCTTAAAATCAAGGAAGAGATAAGAGAATTTGAGCATAATTTAAAATATTCAAAGAGCAAAAGAATTAAAAAGCATCTGCTTCTTTTTTAAGAGAAATATAAAGTATTTAACTCATTTCATTTTTAAGACTAAGAAAAAAAACTATTACATAAAAATCATTTCAAAGTCTTTTAAAAACAAACAAACCCAAACCCAGAATCTTATATTATATACTCATTTATACAACCACAGCACTTACCTTAAGCATAGTAGGAAAAGAATGGAGAGGAAGGGTCTTTACCATCACCTCCTAAGGTATTACAGTAAGTAAGCTGTTAAGAATGCTGTTACACTCTAATCTGTAGCATTTTTTTCTAAGCTTTTATTCTAAAGTCCCAAATTGAAAACCTACTGCCTATGAGAAGTAGGTGGTGTAATTTCATTAAAGTCACAATTGTCTACTAAGACGAATGGGTAAAGCAGATGACACATGTTTGCTTTGACATGCCATCTTTCAATTACACGATTAGTGAAAATTTCATCATTATACAAAGTACAGAAGTGAGGGTGGGGAATGTATCAGAATAATATTGGAAGTGTTTTCAGTATAATATTGCTGTTTTAAGTAAATATCTTATTAATAATTTTTTCCTTTATAAAAATATCATTAAATCCACCCAACAGAATAGTGTGCACAGATTTACACTGGCAGAGAAAATTCTTCAGGATATACAACTGAGTCAAAAAACAGGTTATCCCATTTACACAGAATGTTAAATTCAATAAATGAATGGTTGGTTGGATGGAAGGAAGGCAGGGAGAGAGGAAGGGAGAGCAGATGTGTACCACAAAGTCAAAGAAATTTTTTTCTCTGAGGAGAAATTTCTGATTACTTTTACTTTTCCCCTTCTCACTTTGCTGTATTATTTGCATTTTCTAATGTAGGTATTTCTTTATACTACCTTTATAACTAAAAAAGGGGGGAGAGGGTTAGGGTGGGAAAAAACCAAATCAGCAATATAGCCTTTCCATTTTGGGAAAAGAAAAAAATAATTTAATCACAGAGAAGCAAACCAAAAAAATCGATAATTCCCCCATATCATGCAAACACATCCATTATTAACATTCTGATAAATTTCCTACCCAATTATTCTATTAATCATATGTTTGAAAACATGTATTCAAATTTAACTAATCCTTTATGGAGGGTATTTAGAATTTAATACTCTAATAAAGTCAAGTGTCAAAACAAAGCTTGAACTCAACAAATTTAATAACAGATTGGCTCAAAATTTTTTAGATTAGAAAACAAAGTAGATTACTGAGAATAAGAGAACTATTTATTCTGTATTCAAAGAGTCTCTAACACCAAACTTAAGAAGGCCACAGAGTAAAGAATATTGACCTCCAGGCCATAGCCTTACAAGCAAAGAAACTCATCTATTCAAAGAGATGAAGGCTACAGAGAAAAATCTAAAACCTAAAAGATGCAGGCTTTCATTAACATTTTAATTTTAAATGATTACAGTTCTTACTTCTAGAGGTTATACTTGGTTCTCTTTCAAATCTACTTTGTCTACTTTGACAAGGATATTTTTTATTCCCTCTTTTACTTCTTTAGATATTAAAAATTTTAAGTAACTTTATTTTATTTTCTCAACCCAATAACTCTACCATTTCTCCTTCCTAGGGATCTAATTCTGTTGCTTGTTGTTGCCACAGAGTCTCACTCGTAGTAACTTATTCCCTCATGTATTCTATATGTCAGACTGTATCCTAAGGTTTGACATGGTTTGTAGGTGGTAAGCCTTTCATGCCAAGGATGAGGGCACATTATATGAGAGAATTTGCTTTTGCCAGTTGCCCTGGGTTATTACTAACCCAATAACTTTAAGTAATTCTCTCAGCTTAGGGTTTCCCCAGATTGTACAGGTAGTGTAAATTAAACTAAACCAGGGAAAATTTTCAGGAAGGACTTTCTTCCCTCAATCCAGAACCCAGGGCAAGACAAGCAACTTTCTTAATCTCCCTGCTGGTGGGCGGATTTTTTTCTAGTATTTTTTTTTTTTTTTTATTGAATGTAATTGATTGTACCTATCTGTGGAGTACAGCGTTGAATATCGATACCTGTGTGCATTATGTGATGCTCAAATCAGGGTAATTAGTAAATTCAATGCTAATCCTTTTTTAACTATAGATGTTTATCCTTTGAGGGCTTAGCTGTGTGCAGGTTTCATTCCAAGTTCTGGCTTGTACAAGCCCAAGAAAACCCTATCTGCTATGCTCTCAGAAAAAATGTAAAAAACAAACAAACAAAAAACCATAAGATGATGGACAGAAACCAGCAACTGACCCCAAGGGCAACCAAAGTTTCAGTGACAGATTAACACTCTGGCAGCTCCTTCTTTGTTTTTGGCCTTAGGAATTTCTCTTATATAAATGCAATCTCAGCTATGCTTTTAAAGGTTATTTGTTATATTTTATCCAGCATTCCTAAGTAGAATAAAGTTAAGCTTTACAATTTAATTGATGCATGCAAATTTCCCACTGCTACAGAGTCATCTATTCTCCCAAATACAAAGGTTCCAGGATTTTTACAAAGTTGAAAACACCCATCTTAGAGCATAGTAGCTATTAATTTTGCTAAATATCACATATACTTTTCATCTTAAGAATGTATTTCAATATTCACCAATTAAGACTAATTAAAGATTTGGTTTGATATTTACCTTTACTTTGGGTTTAGGTGCAGGAATCACCTTTTTCTTTGCCCTGAAAGATTAAAAAGGAGGCCATTTTAGTAACAGTTATATCACGCATTAGGAAATTATAACATATAACCTTGTAATTATGTGGGTAAATAATTTCTTCTGCTACTTGGGAAGCTCTTTGAAGGAAGGAAATATATATAAGTGCTCAGTTTATATCTGAATATACAGCAACATTTTCCCCAACTTAGGAAATTATAACATATAACCTTGTAATTATGTGGGTAAATAATTTCTTCTGCTACTTGGAAAGCTCTTTGAAGGAAGGAAATATATATAAGTGCTCAGTTTATATCTGAATATACAGCAACATTTTCCCCAATTCAGGTTAACTGGAAGAAAGGCCAAATAATTAGTAAAATACGAAATGTAGGTGATAGTTTTTTTTTTAATTAAATGTAAATACATAAAATATAAAATAACTCAAAACAGGATAACGAAGCTGATTACAGAGACTTCAAAGAACTGGTAGGAATTAGCACTTATGTGTAGGAAAACAAACCTTCGAGGAACTTCATGCTCAAATTAAACCATGTCAAGAAGTTATAAATGAAGGGCCGGCCCGTGGCTCACTTGGGAGAGTGCGGTGCTGGTAACACCAAGGCCACGGGTTTGGATCCCATATAAGGATGGCCGGTTAGTTCACTTGGAGAGCGTGGTGCTAACAACACCAAGTCAAGGTTTAAGATCCCCTTACTGGTCATCTTTAAAAAAAAAAAAAGAAGTTATAAATGAGATTTTACTTAAAAAACAAAACAAAAAACCCTGAAGTTTTTACAAAAAATTATGTTTTTTTATGTAAAAATTCAAGGAAAATATCAAAATAACAAAAGGAAAAAGGCAAGAAAAAAATACTACAGAACCTTGGAACCTTTGGGAATCCATGTGAAAAAGTATAAAGATTTTTAAAATCTTGCGTGGAGGCGCTCCCGCCGAGGGTTCGGATCCCACGTACAGACCGGCCGCTCACTGGCTGAGCG